TTAACAAATTTTCTGATTTTATAGGAAACGTAATATTATATCCTGTAAATTTAAAACTCGATGTAAATTATCTAATTTATATAGTCCACGCTCCCCCTTTTACAGGATTATCGACAGTTTTGATCGCCTAGTATTCGTGCACACATGCGGACACATACAGAAATTCGTCGGTTGGCTTGTGTGCAGCCTGTCGCACAACTAATAGGACACGATTCAATTTTAACGAAATGAAATGGAACTTTGTCAATGACTAAAACAACATTTATTTTAATCTAATCAAAAAATATACAGCCATTCATTTCATTGTAGTAATCCTGAGTGTTCTTTTTTTACCCAAGTGACAATAATTCACCAGTCATGAACAATTCATCAGAGCCAATGTGAACTACGATTATTCGTTTGCATTTCCACTTGCGTGGGCAACACCACACACGTTAGTGTCTTGAGGAATACATCCCATCCCTAAAGAACGTAACCGTAATGTCTACACACGTTTTTGTGTACAATCACCGACATTCACTGGCGTTTAGTTTAAATAATAATATATTGGACGATATTGTTGTCAACATTTCCTAATATTCATTGCTTTGACATTTTTTTTTTTTTGTTCGTTTATCACCTCTCTTTACTAACGTACTGTTACGAGCTCTTTTCGTATTATCAAAATTTAAATCTCTTAGGGACGTGATATAAATATGTTCGTAATAAATTCAGTAAATCTTTTTTTCTAATGAACTTCGCCTAGAATATTTTGTAAGCAAGCATTTTCTTTTTCTATTAAAAGTAATGTACTATAGCTTATCGAATAGTATTTTTTTGAAAATTTTCAAACTTTTTTTTTATTTTTAGTTTATTTTTTTATTTTTATTATTATTTGTAAATTTAACTTGTCCCGTTTTCTTGAATTCAGAAATTTATGAACATTTTATATTATGATCCAGTTGTTTAAGAAATAGTTAGTATGTGTTTTTTTTATGAAACATTGAGTAATTTATTAATTTTGGTTTTATATACATTAATAATAATTTATTTTTTGCTTGGAATAAACGAACCAAAAAAAAATAAAAAAAATATTGTATATTATATTGAATTGCGTTTGAATTACGTAGAGTATTAATAATTAAAATGTCTATACATAAATATCTTAATATATATAAATCTCATGTCACAATGTTTGTCCTCAATGGACTCCTAAACCTCTTAACCGATTCTGATGAAATTTTTACACCGCGTGTAATTTGGTCCAACTTAAAAGACAGGATATAGGGTATGGACCTAACTCCTGTGAGTTAGAGATTTAGAGACAAAAACCGAGTTACACCGGTGGCACCCTCTAGCAGATAAAAATAAAATATAAATAATAATACAAAAATCGATAATAGCAGGGCTTGAAATCGATTAATATCGATAAAAATCGAAAAAAAATAAATATTATAAAAGTTACGTTACCATGGCCACAATAATTTCAATTTATTTTATTTTATTTTATTTATTTATTTATTTATTTATTTATTTATGTGCTATGATAACATGCCACCGAAAAAATCTAACTTCAACAACGCGAGCAGCAAAGGGTCACGACGCAAACGTGTTGAAAGAGCTCAGCAATTACCAGAACAAATGGAAACAAGAAATGCAGCTCAAAGAATTAGGACTGCAGAAAGTCGTGCACGAGAATCTCAAGAACAGCGTGACGAACGTCTGCAACAGAATATTACGAGAACAAGAGCGGCACGAGAACGAAACATAGCTACAGTACGAGAAAGAGATCGACAAAGGCAACGGATCAGCCGCTCATTAACACGTGCATCATTCGTTCGGCTTGCCTTTGATTATGCACCAGATATTAACTACTCAGCGCATTCAAAGATTGCTATCGGTGTAATGAATAAAGTATGTCAATATTATCAGGTATTGAAATTTCGGAATGAAGCTGCCGGCATGTGCTGCGCATCAGGAAAAGTTGTGCTGTCACCTCTACCCGCTCTGCCGGAGCCTTTATTATCCCTTCTTACTGGCAATTCTGATGATTCCAAATTATTTTTGCGTAAGATACGCAAATTTAATTCCTGCTTCCAAATGACGTCATTTGGGGCAACTAAAATTTGCGATCGTGCATCCGATGGACGTAATTTTGAAACTACATTCAAAATTCAAGGCCAGGTGTACCATAAAATCGGATCACTGATGCCAATGCCTGATAACAATCCGAAATTTCTTCAAATTTATTTTATGGGCGATTGTGAAGAGCGTGTGACGACTCGGTGCCTGTATAATTTTTTTGAACAAGCAGAGGAAAGAGCAATTGTGATATTATTGGAAAATTTTTTAGAAGATCACAATCAACTAATTCAATTGATCAAAAGAGTTTCGCCACGACTGCAAAATGACAATTATCAAATCGTCATAAAAGCCGACAAAGTACCACTAGGTGAACATGCTGGTAGATTCAACGCTCCAACTGTAGATGAGGTTGCTGTTATCATGGTTGATGATCTAGTTGACAAAAGATCTATAAAAATTACACGGCGAGACAACACTGTCAGTACGATTTCAGATCTACACCGTTCATATGACGCACTACAATATCCATTGATATTTTGGCAAGGACAAGATGAATATCAACTTAATATCAAACAGTATGATCCAAATACCGGTATATTTGACAATTATCTATTTACTTTCTCACTGTATGTATAGATTTTAATTTCGTATGGCATTTTATTTTTTATTTTTTTAGGTGATTACAGAAATAAAAAAGTTAGCTCAATGAACTACTACGCACACCGAATAATGGTTAGACAACATCAAGACAATTATATCCTTCGTTATCGTCAGCTGTTCCATCAATACATTGTTGATATGTATGCTAAGGTTGAAAGCGAACGCTTGCAATTCCTTCGATTTAACCAGGCAAAACTACGATCGGAAGAATATATTCACTTACGAGATGCTGTTGCTGGAAACATCGATGGAACTTTAAATCCCAATGACATCGATAATGCTTTCATATTACCTTCAAGCTACATCGGCAGTCCACGGAACATGCAGGAATACATACAAGATGCGATGACTTACGTACGTCATTACGGCCGACCGGATTTATTTATTACATTCACATGTAATCCGAATTGGAAGAGATACAAACTTTACTATTGCCAGGACAACAAGCCATTCATCGTCATGATTTAACTGCACGTGTGTTTAAACAAAAATTGAAATCCTTAATTGATTTTATTGTTAAATATGAAATTTTTGGTATCACACGTTGTTGGCTGTATACGATAGAGTGGTAAAAGCGAGGTTTGCCTCATGCCCACATTTTGGTTTGGCTTAAAGATAGAATCCGTCCTGAAGAAATCGATCAAATAATTTCAGCCGAAATTTCAGACCCATTAATTGATCAAGAATTATTTGATATTGTCACCAAACACATGATCCATGGGCCATGCTGTGCTTTCAACATGACGTCACCGTGCATGGAAAGTGGAAAATGTAAAAAAAACTTCCCAAAGCCGCATACGAATGACACGATCACGAATATTGATGGTTATCCAATGTATCACCGCAGAAGTACTGAGAATGGTGGCCACACATTTACAATGCGACTGCCGAACTTTCCAAAACAAGTTGAGTTTGATAATCAGTGGGTGGTACCATACTCACCACTACTTACGAAAATTTACAAAGCTCATATCAATGTTGAGCTTTGCAGTTCTGTTAAATCAATTAAGTATATTTGTAAATATGTAAACAAAGGCAGTGATTTGGCCATATTTGAAGTACAAAACATAAATAATAATGACGAAATAGCACGATACCAAATGGGCAGATACATTAGCAGCAATGAAGCTATTTGGCATATTCTCAGCTTTCCCATCCACGAAAGAGATCCTGCTGTCCAACATCTGGCAATACATCTTGAAAACGGTCAACGGGTATACTTCACTGAAGAAATGCTCTCCAAAGAGCGTTCGATGCTCCGAAAACGACTTTAACTGAATTTTTTACATTGAGTCAAAAACCTGATGTTTTTGGCCAATTCGCGAAGACATTGGTGTATGGTGATGTTTCACGTTATTTCACATGGAACAAATCCAGTAAAAAATGGGAGCCACGGAAACAAGGAAAACCACATCCTTCCATTACAGGCATATTCAAAGCTATTATAAGCTAAGACATTGGGGAGACTTTACACGGTACATCCATAGCAACGTGAGTGCTTCTATTTACGTTTGTTATTGGTGAATGTTCCCGGGCAACATCTTTTGAATTTTTACGAACAGTTAATGGTCGAGTATTCATTACATACCAGGATGCATGTCGTGAACTGAAATTGCTAGAAGATGATAACCATTGGGACTTAACGCTTGCCGATGCTGCGTTGACATCAACACCGAATAACATTCGTCAGTTGTTTGCAATTATTTTGACGACATGTTATCCCTCGCAAGCACAAACTTTGTGGGAAACATATAAAAATTGTATGACAGAAGACATCTTGCACCGAATTAGACACATAAATCAATGCCAAATTAGAGATTATACACCAGAGATGTACAATGAAGCATTGGTCATGATCGAGGATTTATGTGTTCTTATTTCAAATTTACCACTTAATCATTATGGTATGCCATCACCTAATCGTCCAGCCACCGACTTAGTCAATACCGATTTACAACGAGAAAATCAATATGACCATGGAAGTTTAGCAACAATTATCATGAACAGTGAACCATTACTGACAGCAGAACAAAAAATTATTTATGATCGGATTATGCTGGCTGTTGCTGCTGAACAAGGCGGTTTTTTTTTCTTGGATGCACCCGGTGGAACCGGTAAGACATTTTTAATATCGTTGATTCTTGCCAAAATACGGTCGCAACAAAAAATCGCATTAGCTGTAGCATCGTCAGGCATTGCGGCTACTTTAGGATGGTGGGCGAACAGCACATTCAACATTCAAGCTGCCATTGGACGTTCATAATAAACCAGATGCAATGTGTAACATCAAAAAGAATAGTGGAATGGCTGCAGTGTTGCGGAAGAGTTCTATAATAATTTGGGATGAGTGCACAAAGGCACACAAATATTCACTTGAAGCACTAAACAGAACTATGCAAGATTTAAACAGCAATAATAAACTTTACGGTGGTGCTATCTTACTTTTGTCTGGTGACTTCCGGCAGACCTTACCGGTTATACCTCCCTCTACTTTCGCGGACAATTTTTGCACTGTTGTTCAGGATAAAAATGATTTGATTCAGAGTATTTTCCCGGATATACAGAATAATTATTTGAATCATGAATGGCTTAGTCAACGGGCGATTTTGGCAGCCAAAAACGTTGATGTTGACGAAATTAACTTCCAGATACAACAGTTGTTACCAGGCGATCTGATGTCATTTAAATCAATCGATACTGTTGTTGACGAAAATGAAAGTGTAAATTTTCCGAATGAATTTTTAAATTCATTAGATATCCCTGGAATGCCACCACATAATCTTTGATTAAAGATTGGTTCCCCTATTATTCTCCTCCGTAATTTGAAGCCACCTCAATTATGTAACGGTACGCGTTTGGTCATCAAAAAGATTACCGGAAACATTCTTGAAGCAACCATTTTGTCTGGGAAGTTTAAAGGAAAAGTGGTCCTGCTGCCACGTATTCCGATGATACCATCAGATTCTACCATACCCTTCAAAAGGCTACAGTTTCCAATTCGTTTAGCTTTCGCCATGTCTATAAATAAATCTCAAGGTCAAACAATGTCCATTTGTGGTTTAGATTTGGAAAATCCATGTTTTTCTCATGGGCAACTATATGTTGCGTGTTCACGTGTTGGGAAACTGTCGAATCTATTTGTGTTAGCTAAAGACAGGTTAACCAAAAGCATTGTGCACCGATTGGTGTTAAATTAAATAGAAAAATTAAAAGTATTTATAATTTAAAAAATTAGATATTAACGTTTAAAAGTTTAAGACTGTCTGCTTAATATCAAGTGTAAGAACATTTAGCCACAGCAACGCGTGGCCGGGTCAGCTAGTATATATATATTTTTTGATACGATTAAACAAACAAATAAGAAATAAAATTACTCATACCTTTCATTTTTTATTGTATTCTAACCGGAGATCTACCTTCAGTACATTATTGGCGTTTGTTTTATTTATGACTAAGCTGTTTTTAAGGTACAACACTATTGAGTCGGTGATACCCGATTTAGCACGTTCGTTTATCAGCCGACTTTTTTGACCATCCGATTCATCACGATGAAAAAATATGTCTCTTTTAAAAAATTCAAAGTATGTTTTTGCTGATGGTACTTTTTTGTATACATTAAAATGTTTTCTTCGAATGCATATCATATTACCATATAAACTTATTTGCAGAATAAATTTTGCTTGTAATTCAAATTTGATAAGTGTACCATCAACTTCTAATATTTTATGTTTATTAACTGCAAACACGAGTTACCATGAAATTTATGAAAAAAAAAAAAATTGTTATGTTTTATTGATGTAATAAAGAGATATACAATCCAGTAAACACACCATGTAGGATGGGGATTGAACTTTATGATATTGTAAGTTGTAACGTTACATTATATTACATTTTAGTATTTTTTTTTTTTTTTTTATGCATAGGTATCAAACAATTTTTTAAAGATATAACTTATAACCTCACTAAATTAGTAATTACTTATATTTTGAAACAACATTTATTATTTTTATTTTATAGCTCATTATAATATTCAACAGCTCAGTATAATATCAATAGTTCATAATATTATATTATATTATAAAAGTTTATAATATTTAATAGTTCATTATAGTATTTGGTACTCAACTATAATATTTAGTGCTTGACTATAGTATAATATTTTATTTAATGCTTACATTCATATGTTTGATGTTTTATTTGATATCTAATATTTAATTATTATATCTGTTGCTCAGTTTTAATATATTTGATAGTTAATTGAAATATTTAGTATGTGTTTATGATATTTGATTTTTTGATTGTGATATTTTATAGTTAATTAAAATATTTGATTCTGATATCCATTATTTTTAGTATTCAGTTCTAATATTTAATACTCAATTATATTATTTTTTATTGGGTTTCAATATTTAATATTTACTTTAATACTTAAAATCAATTTTGAGCACAGCTCGTGTCTTACCAAATATTAAATAGTTCATTCGACACTTTTTCTTATTTAATATTGTTCAGTTATTATCTAAAGTTATTGAGTGGAATGTCTTATTTTATAAATTATAATTATTTGAGTATATTTTAGGTGTTATACCTTGGTTTTTATATTATTATTTTTTAGGTATTATACTATATTATCATACTATCCCTTAGTTATTAATTTGATATTGCGTTTACAATATTGTTGTTGTTATAATATTTCTTTTATTGATAGTTTCTTTAATAATTTTTATATTTGATTCTTTGTTGGCTTCTTTTGTTTATATTTTGTTCGAGTCATAGTTCTGTGACTGATATACTTGTTATTATTATTTCTTTTAATTTATCTTAAGGTTGTTGTGGACCGTTAATTGTTTATTTAATACTGTTTAGTATTCACTATTCAAATTTAATTAAATATTATATGTAAAGATACCATGATAACGTTATAATTGCTCATTCAACTAATAACACCTAACTGATGATATTAAAATGGTAAATAAAAAAAAGAATTTAATACTTGTATGATATTTATAAAATAAAGTACCTTAAATCCAAGTAAGTGCTTCACAATAAACTTGAAACCACGCTCTGCTACCAAATGTTCGCACTAGTGATTAGGAGCTCCTCACTCAGCGGTTAGCACCTAGAACTCGCACGCCTGGACTAGATACAATGAAGTTAATATAAATATATATAAGTGAAATATAATAATAAATATAATAAACCTTTATTTTAGTTAATATCAAAAGAAATAATATATTATCCGAAATGATCAGTCTCGGACTCTTAAGACGTAAAATAATAAAATATCAACAAACTATACTCTGTCCCATACCAGAGTTTATAACAAAACAAATAACAATATTATAGTAAAATTAAACATAACAATAGTCAAGGGGAAGATGAGACAACTGCTCAATACACAAAATTTGTTATTTAATAATAATACAAGGGGAAATGCTGAACTGCGTCTTGAGCTGACTGGAAATATTTGAGCTGATGGAACCACGTGGTTTGGGTCCGAACTGGATGGTGCGAATAAATATAATATTTACCACACTGAGACTGTGAGCTGCAAAGTAACAATGAACGGCGAACTGCTGGAGCTGGTATTCGATGCTAAAGAACGACGAGACCGAAAGCAAACAAAATATGCATACGAGCTTCGAATCCGAAAACAGAACGGTGCGTTAGATACACGAAATGCTGTCTTATTGCGAACGGCAAATAGGAGCTTAAGAGCAGCAAAATATTAACTAAATACGATAGCCGCCGACCATACGCGCCGTCGAAAACATCGCGACCGTTGCGAACTGCAGATAGACGACCGGGGTGAAGAAGAACGTCTCTTCGGTAGTGTTACCAACCTGTGGCAGTGGGAATGGGCAACGCGAACTCAGGTTGACGAAGTCCGAAGAAGTGCATAAGGTTGTTTTCCAATGGATTGATGCTCTGATGAGTTGTAAGTGAACATGGCGTATGGTATGTAGGTATCCCAATTTTGTTGGTCTGCATCTACGTAGTGACTTAAGTATTCTCCTAGCGTGCGATGACTTTCGCTTGAGGGTGGTATGGAAATGTATTAATGCATTTCACTCCTAATAATTTACATGTTTCGGAAAAGATTTTATTAAGGAATTCTGTTCCTTGGTCGTTTATTAGATTCTGTGGCATACCGTGGATGCATACGAATGATGTAACGAAATGGTAAGCTACAGTATTAGCTTCTTTGTTAGCCATGGGTGTCGCTACCGAAAATGTTGTAAGATCACATTGACGGGTGAGGATGTATACGTTTCCCTGATAAGTTCTAGTGAGTGGGCCTACTATATCGATAAATACTCTTACGAAAGGTTCGGATGCGGTGGTACTAATTACCATAGGTTGCTTGGAATTACGGGACAAAGTTTTATTAATTTGGCAGGATGAACATTTGCTAATGAAATCCGTGACATCCTGACTAAGCCCGTCCCAATCAAATTGCTTTTGAATTCGCTTGACTGTCTGGTTGACTCCACGGTGTCCCCCAAGAATTTCCATATGATTTTCACGTATAATTTGTTGCTTATCTAATTCAGCAACCATTTGATTAGAGAATATCTGTATATTGATTTCTGAGTTCTGAAATATGTGTTTGATCATTCGGAGTACCTTGGACCAATCTAATTGGTTTGCTCCACAACCGATTTTGGGCATGACCAGATTCTGAGTTTCGCATTCCTGACAAAAAAATTTGAGGTTCCGTAAAGACTCGTACATGTCTTCCAAAGTTGATTTTTGCCAAAATTTGTCCTTTGTTACGAGGTTTATGATGTACCGTGATCCCAATGGAAAGTATGCAACTTCAGTCTTCTTTGGACGTTGAAGTTTTAAATCCTGTAGGTGTCCGAATTTCCTTCTAAATTTCAGGGCGATACCTCGATTTAGCTTTAGATCAGCAGACACGCAGTGTACTAAATGGAATTCTTCTGAAACGGTGAAGAGATCCCCAGTTACCTCTTGGACTTGCGCGTTCCGATAATTTTGACATTCGCTATCTGATATGTATTCGTGGAAAAGCTTCAACTTTATAAGTGATTCTGCCGATTTTTGTTGAGACCTAGTGTGCACGACTTTAACTTCCATTATTCGACTTAGTGCGTTGGCATTGGTATTGGATTTTCCTGTTTTGTAAATTACTTCGTATTGATATTCGGCCAACTTTAATCTCCAACGTAGAAGCCTCGAACCCGGATCCTTTACGTTGAACAACCAAGTAAATGGCATGTGATATGTGTACATTTTGAATTGTCGACCAAGTAGATAAGGTCTAAAATTCTTTGTTGCCCAGACTATGCTTAACAACTCTTTTTCGGTCATACTATAGGCTTGTTCAGCTTTATTTAGAGTCCTGGATGCATAAGGGATAGGTCGATCTTGTCCCGGTGTACCTTGTGATAAAGTATTTCCAATTGCAAATTGACTCGCGTCCGTAGTTAGGATAAATTGTCTTTAAAATCAGGATATTGCAATACTGGTGCTTCTACGAGCTTCTGTTTGAGCGTCTCAAAAGCTTTCTAACATTCAACTGACCATCCGAATGGTACGTCTTTGCTTAAGAGTGCTGTGAGTGGTTTCGACGTCTGGCTGTATCCTTCAACAAATCTTCTGTAATAGCCAGATAGCCCCAAGAATTGTTTCTGTCGAGTTCCTGGGAACTGGATGGTTTTGTACACATTGCATTTTTCCGGGATCAGGTTTGACTCCTTCGTCGGTAATGAGATGTCCCAAATAAATCACTTCTCTTTGTAGAAATTGACATTTTGATGAT